GCCCAGCTTTCTCCCCCAAACACATCTCCCTATACATCTATAATTCCTAATCTTCTAGGGGTTGTGGATTCTTTTACAGATTTTATAAAAAGCTGTGGCTACTTTCCCCAGAAAAGCACACATATGCACATGTACACTAAACCTCACAATTTCCCCTACCTTCTTTATACATAGGCTCCACCCCCAGACCTCAGAGTAAAAACTGTGTATGCTGTGCTTTTCCAACTCGTCCTCAACTCCCCAAAACCATAAGCTGGAAACTATTCACCCAGAATTCCTTTGTTGAAAGACACTACAGAGCAATAGGGTTTTTTGTTTGTTTGTTTTTAAGAAAGGAAAGTTGAAGCCAGGTGTTGGTGGCTCATGCCTGTAATCTTAGATATTCAGGAGGCTGAGATTTGAGGATTACAGTTTGAAGTCAGCCCAGGCAGGAAAATCTATGAGATTCTTATCTCTAATTAACCACCAGAAAACTGGAAGTGGCACTGTGGCTCAAAGTGGTAGAGTGCTAGCCCTGAGCAAAAAGGCTCAGGGACAGTGCCCAGGCCCTGAGTTCAAGCCCCATGACCAATGACAAAAAAAAAAAAAAAAAAAAGAAAGGAAAGGACATGAAAATAGTTTGTCATGACAGCTATTAATGGTTATCTCCCAAAGGCCCATGTTGTGTTCAATACTTGGTCCCCAGACTGTGACACTACTGGAAAGTTGTAGACGCTTTAGGACATAAGGGTAGAAACATTGTTTTTCATTGTTGTTGCTGTTTAAGAGAGAAGAAAATTATAATTTAGCACAATGATGTTATGCTCTGGATTTAAAGTGTCCCTCAAAGGCCATGTGCTAAAAGTGTGGTTGCCAACCATTGGGGAAAAAGACTGAGGATCATAAATGTACTGATCTCATCAAGAGTTTGACCCATTAATGGGTTCATAACTTGATGGGCTGTTGGAAGGTGACAGAAACTCTAGGCAATGGGGCCTCATTGGCAGAAATAGGTCACTGGAGGCCTTTTGTGTTAGCCAGACATTTCATTGCTATGATGAATATCTGAAAGAAACAACTGGAAGCAGGAAAGATTTGTTCTGGTTCATGTTTTCAGAACCCATGTTGGAATCTGGAAGCCGAATGGGACAGGAAGGGGCTGGGGACAAAGTATACCTTTCCAGGACAGGACATGTCTACAGTGAGTGGCTTATTTCCTCTAACCAGGCACTATCTTCCACAAATCCACCATCTCTCAATAGTCATTCGAATTTGGAATTCATGCGGATTAATCTATTCATGTAGTCAGAGTCCTCAAGATCAAATCACTTCCCAAGAGCCTCTCTTCTGAACATTTGCTTGCTTGAGGGACCAAGCTGCCAAATGCCCAAGCCTTCTGGAGCATACTTTATATCCAAACCATAATATTTTTTTTTTGTCAGTCATGGGGCCTGCACTCTCGGCCTGGGCGCTGTCCCTCAGCTCTTCAGCTCTAGGCTAGCACTCTACTACTTGAGCCACAGCACCACTTCCAGCTTTTCATGCTTATGTGATGCTGAGGAGTCGAACCTAGGGCTTCATGCATGTGAGGCAAGCACTCTACCACTGAGCCAACTTCCCAGCCCCAAACTATAATACTTTTGAAGGGCAGATTTTTGTCCCTAACTCTTGCCTAGACTGTTTTCTTTCTCTCTCCCTCTCTGCTTCCTTGTTATGATATAAGATGACCATTCTCCACCACACATACTGGCTATCATCTCACCCTATACCCAGATCAATGGAGCTAGCTGACCATAGACCGAATCATCAGAAACTCTGAGCCAAAATAGATCTTTTTTTTCCTCTAACTTGTTTTCTCTGTGATTTTTTTTCCTGCCACAGCAACAGAAAACACACACACACACACACACACACACACACACACACACACACACACACATGTACCTGGCATCTGAGTACTTTCTGTGAATACAAATAAATACACAGCAGAGATGGAGAACATGGAAAAATGTTGTATAACATAAAGTCCTTTTTGTTTTATTTTTGGTGGTACTTGTGTTTAAACTGAGGACTTTGAGCCATGCTACCATTTGAGTCAGGCTTCAAGGTCAGTAGACAACTTTTAAAAGGAGAATGTAATCTCTTGAGTAGAGTAAATGCCTTCAATTCAGAGAGGACAAAAGATGTTAGGGTGGCAGCATTTTCTCAATTTCAATACTATCATCAGGAAAACGAATACTTTCCCAATTAGGCGGTGAGATTGGGTGGATAGAGCAGAGAGGAGCTTAGGGAAGGAATCCCTTTAATTTTATGCTTTTGAGAGTACCAGGGTTTGAACTTAACCTTTTGATTGCTTGGCTTGCTTGCTTGGCTGGAACTCTACCACTTGAGCAATGCCTGTAGCCTGGCTTTGTACTGGTTATTTTGGAGCTAGAGTCTCAACAACTTTTCTACCCAGGCTGACTTTGAATATCAGTCCTCCCTATCTTAGACTCCTGAATTGTTACTACTACAGATATAAGCCACCAACCAGGTGCAGAAGAATCCCTTCTTATGGACTAGGGCTTGAACTCAAGACCTCTTCACTATCCCTTAGGATTTTTGCTCAAGGCTGGCACTGTGCCACTTGAACCATAACTCCAGTTCTGGCTTTTTGGTGGTTAATTGAAGAGAAGAGTCTCACAAACTTTCTTGCTGGGGCTGGCTTCAAACTGTGATCCTCAGATCTCAGCCTCAACTAGTAGCTGACAAGCATGAACCACTGGTCCCTGGTTCTCATGTTCATTCTTCATTTATCTTTTAATTCAAACCAGTTTGATCATTAGAAGTATAAGGAACTCAACTTTTCTAATCTCAAAAAACTCTTGACTGGGCTGGGAAGGTGGCTCAGTGGTAGAGTGCTTGCCTTGCATGCATGAGGCCCTGGGTTCGATTCCTCAGCACCACAGAAGCAGAAAAAGCCGGAAGTGGTGCTGTGGCTCAAGTGGTAGAGTGCTAGCCTAGAGCTGAAGAGCTGAAGGTCAGTGCCCAGGCCCAGAGTTCTGGCTCCATGACTGGCAACAAAACAAAACAAAGCAAAAAAGATCTTGACTACTTTCCACCAAAACATTAAGACCTCAGAATTAGCTATGACCAGTGGGGCAATAGTGTTATATTTTTCCATGATTTGTCTCCACATTGTTTTCCAGACACTCAACACTCATTCTTGTCTCAGCCTCTTTGTTGAAATGATCTCCCCTCTGTGAATTCCCTCCCACTTTGGTTTCAACTTTCCCATCCCACCAGTATGCTTGGGACTCAGCATTATTCTTGCTTACAATGAAGATGACACACAGACTCCAGCAGGAACAAAATACTCTGGGAATAATACAAGTGAAGAAGTACTCTAACAACTACAGGATGTTCTGAAATAGGAAGTATTATCATTTGAAACAATTAACTGGAAATTAGGTTTGGTCCTTTGCTATATCTTCAAGTGTTTCTTGTGTTGTTAATATCACATTACAAAACCACATGAAGCTCATTAAGACAAAAGTCACCTCTTATTTTTTATGTATCTTCATCATCTCTACTAGTGCACAGCTACATCTGACATTCAATTCTAATGCAATGAATTAATCAAAACAATGGCTTTCTTAACCACAGAACACCTCACTGGGCCAACTAAGGTCAAGTTTTTAAACACATAAGAAAATGATTGGTTCGTTTATAGAACTGCAAATGAAGTCATGATGGTAGAATAAACTTGATTTCTGCAGTCAATAAAATCCAACCATCTTCTTCCATTTCATTCATAAAGCTCTGAATTAGAACCTAATTGCTCTAAATCAGAGATTCAGACTGAGTACTTTGCTTCATGATATATCCGTATTTTGTCTAAGGGCAAAAATTCAAGTCCCTGCAGCTGTTCAATATGGTATTATTTGATTTTCTTCTTTTTTTAAATTTTACTTTTATTTTTAATTTAATTAATTAACTTTTGGCCAGTCGTGGAGCTTGACTGAACTCTGGTCCTGGGCTTTGCCACTCAGCTTCTTTTGCTCAAGGCTAGTGCTCTACCACTTGAATCACAGAGACACTTCTGGTTTTTTTTCTGCGTAGTTTATTGGAGATAAGAGTCTCATGGACTTTCCTGCCTAGGCTGGTTTCGAACCACGATCCTCAGATCTCAGCCTCCTGAGTAGCTAGGATTATAGGTGAGCCACCAACGATTGGCTATTGTCTGTTTTCCTATGCTGCCTCTGCAATGAGGTATGCAGCCTTTGTCCTCTGCTCTTTGTTGGCCTGATTGATGGATTTTGTTGTTCAAGATCCTAGAAGCGCTGGTACAAAATCTTGGCCAATTCTGGTCACAGCAATCTGCTAAAAGGGGAACAGCTCCAGTTCCAGCTGCCTGGTGAATGTGGTTTATTTGATCGATCTGGAGCCTCTTTCCCAGTCTGTTCCTTGGTTAGAATGATCATTACCTCAGTTTATCACAAAGGCTAAGAGAATGATGCTAACTGAAATGATAACGCTAAATAAAATAAGGGGGGATAAATGAAACGCAAACTGTTGCTTTGGACTCTTCAATCCTGGGACTGATCCGACTAGCCTCCAGAATCCTGCCCCTACAGAACCTGGGAACAGGCACTAAGGTATAGATTACCTACCCCCCCCCCCCGCACCCCCCCCCCCCCCCCCCCCGCCTCCCGCGCAATCTCCATGGCGATAGTCAGGAAAGGAGAAGCGGCTCCACGCAGCACAGCAACCCAGCAACCCGCCCTCAGGCTACCTTGACCAATGGTCCCCTGGGTTAAGGAGGAAAGGGTGATTGACACTGAGGTAGGGGAGTGGCGAAGCACCATTATCCAATGGAAATCGAGTCTAATCCCAGGACGCACAAGCGCCGACCAATCGGAGGGTATAACGGAGGACAGCGTACCCACCGACTGTACTCGGCGTGGCCTAGAGCCGCGGCAAACATAAACTAATAAGGAGGAAGTTGGACATTGAAAGAGATATGCTGATTGGAGAATCTGAAATAGCTTGAATAAAAGCCCACTTGTGATTCGTCGTAAGTACACGGAAGCCCGTGTGGGTTGGAGCAGGCCAGATTCAGGTGTGTGTAGGGGCCGAGGTAACTTGGGGAGCCAGGTGGAGAGGGGCGGGGAGGGGCGGAAGCGAGGGGTCCGGAGCGCTCGTGGAGACGACAAAAGGGGAGCCTCGGGTTGCGGGGCCTGCAAAGAAGGAGGGAGTTGAAGGCACGAGGGGGGACCCCCCCCCCCAGACCCCTGAACATGCCGGACCTAAAGCCTGGCGGCTGATACCTAACAGGGTGCCCAGAAGGAAGGGCTGTTGTGTTTCTGGCCCTTGAGAAAGTAAAATGTCTGCGCCGGGTTCAAATGCCTGTTGTCTGACACTTTAACCCATGTCCTACTTCTAAAGAGTAGCCGAGTGAGTGTCCCAGGGAGACGGGCTGTCTGCTGTCACCCCTTGGATCGTGCAGCAGGCCTGGAGGTCCTGTTGCTAGGTGGCCCTGGGCCTCAGTACTGAGCTGTGCTCGGTGATGGAGACAGGAGGCCCAGGCCCTGTTCCTTACTAATAATAAAACCAAGAGGTTTTCTCACGCTTGCACATTTAGATTACAGGGAAGTGTTTAACGTAGAAAAACAAATGTGTGACACTCCCCTCACCCCGGTTTTTGGATGTTTGTTTTTGTTTTTGTTTTTGGTAAGGATTGAAACAATCTAGAAAGGAAATTGAGAAGGATTTCTGCAGAAGGGCAAATGTCTCCTGTAACCTGTTGTTTTTGTTTGGGTTTTTTTTAACTGTATTTTTTTGTCTTTTCTTTTTTGGTACTGGGGATCGAACCCAGGACGTTGCACTTGCTAGGCAAGCACTTTGCTACTGAGCTACATCCCAGCCCAACCTGTTGTTTTTGTTTTCAAGGGCATTTGAGTTCGAGTGAAAATCAGGAAATGGCTGAGGTTTCACCCACTACCAGCACCACTTAAGCCACGGTATCCCCTTCTCCGAGTCTACATTTGTTCTGGGCAGTAAGTAAAGTCATCTTAGTATTCTTTGTGAGCCTGTTTGTGAAGGGTGTGTTTAATCCCATAAACTTTGGTTGAGGTGTCAATCTTCTCAGTTTGTGCTTTTCTCAATGTTCTCTGTTACTTTTAGCAGGAAGAATGCAAGTCATTTTTGACATTGAACACAGAGGGAGAAAATCAACCCTATAGTTGTTAGCTAGTAAACTGTGCATTCAAATTTAGCTTATTCTTTCCTGAGTTAGGGTACTTCTTTAAATGCCATGGTATCACATAAATGGACTTACTCTTGAAATGAAGTCGGCTAAACTATCAGTTTTCAAAGAAGGTTTGCAAAGGTTCTCAATCTTTCAAAACACTTTTTTGTGTTGTTGTCTAAATCATACCCAGTTCAAATAATTTAGCTATTCCATAGGGTACATAATCACAAGTATTTTCTCACAGTGAACTAAAAAAGTAAAAATGATTAAGCATTTCTTCTACAGCAGCATTCTATACTATAACCAGCATCTCTTTGTCATGCTTAGGAAGAAAATGTGTGTTTAGGTTATAAAGTGAAGGGCTTCATTATTAGAAGAGCTTGGGTCTATTTAATCATAAAGCCCTACCACTTATACAGATCAATGTCTCTATAGTTTTTAAGCTTTTATAGGGGTATTGAGAGCAATGTTTTCTTTTTTTCTTTCTTTCTTTTTTTTTTTTTTTTTTTGGTTGGTTGTGGGGCTTGAACTCTGGGCTTAGGCGCTGTCCCTCAGCTCTTCAGCTCAAGGCGAGCGCTCTACCACTTGAGCTACAGCACCACTTCCAGTTTTCTAGTGGTTTATTGGAGATAAGAGTCTCACAGACTTTCCTGCCTGGACTGGCTTTGAACCATGATTCTCAGATCTCAGCCTCCGGTGTAGCTAGGATTACAGGCGTAAGCCACCAGCACCCTGCTGAGAGCAATGTTTTCTTAATCAGCTTCAATACTATTGCCCTGTATCCTAGGTATTCAATTGGTTTAGGTTTTACAGGTTATGTGTGTGATACCCAAAACTGCACCAAAGTATCCTTAAATCATTTTCTTGAACTTGGCACTGATGACTCACACCTATAATCCTGACTATTTGGTAGCCTTTGAATGGGAGGATCACACTTTGAAGCCAGTCCTGACAAAGACCCCCCTTTCAATGCGCAGCTGTTGATTGCACCTGTCACCCTCAACTCCACAGGGGAATGAGCCAGCGTGAGCAGACAACTCTGTGAGACTGTCTCCACAGTGGGAAGCTAGATGATGGTGGGAACTAGATGAGGTAGTAGTGGGACTATTATCCAATAGCAGGAAGCCTAAAATGGACAGACTACAATACCTATGCCACTAGGCAGAAAGTGACAAGCGTAGTCGGGGGCATGGCTCAGTGGTTGAGTGTCTCCCTAACAAATTTGAGGCCTTGAGTTCAGTGCTATGACCAAAAGAAATAGAAAAGTGATTTTTTTTTTTCCAGAAGGACCAGTACTGTCAGCTCAGCTAACCAAACTGGAAACCTTTGTCCACTTTCTCTCTTCTGCAGTTTAGACTCTTACCATTCCCTGTCTGGAAGACTACCATAGTCTAAATGGTGACCTCTGGTATCTGATCCCAGTACGTATGTGTGCCCTGTCTTCACATACCTCTTTACAAATGAATAATTATCCCAAATCCTTAAAAATAAGAGACCATTATTGGGTAGTAGGACAAATATCAATACCCCCGTAAACCAGATTAGTGAATGTTAGCATACTAGCCATCTGCTTCACTTTTGTCTTGTTTATCATTCTGAGGATCAGACCAAGACCTCACAATGGTCGACAAGCAGTCTACCATTGACCTACTATTCCAGCCAATGCTTTTTATTGTGAAGAACTGAAAATATCAAAGATTCTGTTCAGATCCCTTCTTTTCTCTTTGCTGGCCCCATTCTGCTCCCCTCCTCTCAGAAGTACTCCTGAAATTATCCTATCATCCCTGCACATATTTTTATACTTTTGCTGTATGTGTCTATCATCATAAACAATATATGTTATGTAAATTTTTTTCCTTTTTAAAATATAAGTATACTGTGGGTTTCATTTTTGCAGCATTTATGTTCATGTGTGTATGTCCTCAAATGAAGAATTTCCCTGCATCCTGTACAACCTTTCCGTGTCCCACAGAATATTTATTTATAATTCTCCTAGACCCTAACTCCATTTTGTGTATTAACATAATGGTACTCTTTGGGGCACAATTTAATATGGTGAAATTTCCAGGAATGTAACTCAACTGAGGAATGTAAATGAAAGAGAAATTATACAAATTTGTGGTTTGGAACTTTAACAAGAGTTATTCGTTACTCTAGAAAAATCATAGACGTGAAGGCAGGCAGCACAGCTCGTGGTATTTGAGTTGCCAATACAACACACCTGCGGAGTCTGCCTTTGTAGCTTCTGTGCTCGGTGGTGATGCTAAGTTTAGGTGCAAGCATCTGACTACCGTACTTCATTATGTATTCTAGCCCAGTCAGCCTGAACATTCACATATTTAAACATATGCCATTTCATTATGAATTATTTCCGTTTAAAACTGGCTTCTGTATATGATACAAAGTAGAGGTCGAGTTTTTATTATTTTCCGGTTGGGTAATCGTTCTTGCTGTCACCCGTCTGTGACATTCTTTGCCCCCCAACCCAGCCAGCGCCTTCCTGTGCCAGATCCTCGCAAATGCACGGCTCGCTCTCTCTCCCTCTTCTCTCCCTGGCTCTCGGACCATGTGTCTTTGTACCACTCTCACACTGTTTTAATTACCTTGGTTTTATAATATGTCTGCAGCAGTTGGTAACAAGAAGGGCAGGTTGCCATCCTAGTTCTCAAAATTGTTTCAGCTATTCTTGGGTCTTTACTCTTCCGTATGAATTTAGGATTTGTTTTCAAGTTCCACAAGAAATTATTTTTAGGCTTTGGTTAGAATGCACTGAATTGATAGATTAAGAAAAATCGAGATCTTTTTACTTAACTACCTCATCTAGGAACATGGATTATCTATTTTTCTACTCAGGGTTGCTTTAGTTCTCTATCCAGGTACTTAAAAAGAAAAGACCTTGAAGTTTTATAATTTTGGCTATAAGACTCTTAGAAATCATTTGTTTATTCTGATTTATGTGTATACATACAAACATATATATGTATACATACACATATCTCTTTGCTCTGAAAGTTTCAGATACTCAAAAGTTTAGAAGCCGGGTGCTGGTGGCTCACACCTGTAATCCTAGTTGCTAAGGAGGTTGAGAGTCCATGAGACTCTTTATCTCCAATGAACCACCAAAAAGCCAGAAGTGGAACTGTGGCTCAGACGGTGGTGGTGGTGGCTGTCCCCTCAGCTCAAGCCCCACAGCTGACAAAAAAAAAAAAAAAAAGTTTAGGAAACTATATAACCAACATCCACTTACATGTTGTCTAGCTTTCACAGCTAATGAACCACCAGTCACATTTCATAGTCCCTCATCCTCTCCCCAAATAATATGAAACACCCAGAATCATAATTTTTGTTGTTTTCTTTGTGTGTGTGTGTGTTATAGTCTTCAGTTCCATTTGTGTGTGTGTGTGTGTGTGTGTGTGTGTATACGCTGGTACTGGGGCTTGAATTCAGGGCCCGTGTGCTGTTCCTTAGCTTTTTTGCTCAAGGCTGGAGCTCTACCACTTAAGCCACAGCTCTACTTCAGGCTTTTTGGTGGTTGATTGCAGATAAGAGTGTTAAGGGCTTTCCTGCCTAGGCTGGCTTCAAAGCTTGGATCCTCAAGTCTGAGGATTCTCCTGAGGATTATAGGTATGAGCCACCAGCACCTGGCTGACACAATGCTTAAAAAAATTTTTTTTTCATTGAAAAAAATAATTCCTTAATATCAAATATCCAGATACTGTTCAGATTTTCCTAGTCATCTTAAAAGGAGTTTTTATAGTTAGTTTGAATCAGGACCCAAATAGTACATGTATTGCATTTGGTCGATAAATTTCTTAAGATTACTACTAAGACAAAGTTTTAGTCAAGTATAATACACGTAAAACAAAGTGTATAAATTCTAAAGGCATAGCTAGATACAGCTGACCCAAATAAAGCCAGATGAAGAAACAGTTTGACAGTACCCCAGAACACTCTCCAGTGAAAGTGTTCTACAAGGAAAACATACTCTTGCTCCTAGCCCCCCCAAATTAGTTTGACCTATTTTTGAACATTGTTCTCGGCATGCAGTGTGAACCTTTTGATCTTGAGATAAGATTTCACTGTAAAGACTAGGCTGACCTTGAACTTACAATTCTCTTCTTTCAGCCTCTCCTGGTGGCTTGTGCCACCATACCTGGCTTAGTGTAACTTATGCCCGTATCTTTTAAGTTGGTATTTGTAAAATTATCCAGATTATTGGGTATAGTTGTAGTTAGTTTATTTTCATTGCTTTATAATAGTGCATTGTATGAATGAATAGATTGTTGTACTTTATTCTATCGGTAAATATGTGGATTGTTTCTACTTGGGGCTGCAGTGACCTTTTTGTACATGTCTTGTGTGTGTGTGTGAAAATACCATACAGAGGGGTTACTGTACATGTCTTTTGGTGAACTTACGTACACATTTGTGTTGGGAATACATCTAGAAATATAAGAATAATATTCCATTTACTGTACATTTTTGCTAATACTTCACTATCTATTATTATTTTCCTTTTTGCTTTGCTGGTGGATATATAGAGGGTACTGCATTTTGGTTTTCACTTGTAATTTATCTGATGACTAATGAAATTTAGCTCCTTTTCATATACTGGCCATTCAGATATTCTCTTTGTTAAGTACTCTTTATTTTTTATTTGATGGATCTCTTAGTAAATAAGTATATTAAATCACTAAATTTGTGGGCTTATTTATTGTAGAGTTATATCAATTTTGGCCTTACATATTTTGTTGGTGGTGGTCGTGGGGTCTGCTGAACTCTGGGCCTGGACCTTGTCCGTCAGCTCTTCAGCTTAAGGCTAGCACTCTACCATTTGAGCCACAGCGCCACTTCTGGTTTTCTGGTGGTTTATTAGAGATAAAAGTCTCACAGACTTTTCTGCCTGGGCTGGCTTTGAACCACGATCCTCAGATCTCAGCCTCCTGAGTAGCTAGGATTACAGGTATGAGCCACTGGCACCCGGCCAGTTTTCATTTCTTTTAAATTCACTGTGAGAATCTTTGAATAATCATGTGTGATCTGTTTGCATTTACTATGATTGTTGTATTTGTGCTTATATTTACAGTCTTCTGTATTTTTATTTTCCTGGCTTTGTTTACCCACCATCACCCCTCTTGTTTCTTTTCTTACTTTTTTCATTCTACTCATGTGAATGTTATTTTATTTCTGTTGTATGGCATTTATATTCATCATCATCATCATTATTATTGGTATTACTTGAGGTTTGAACTCAGGGCTTTGCACTTGCTAGGCAGACACTCTACCACTAAGCTACACCTCTGGCCTTAAAAAAGTGCAAAGAGCACTGATTACTTTTGAGATAGGATCCCTTTTCCTGCCTAAGAATGAGCCTGACAGGAAACAACCCACCTATTTAGGCTTCCTATTATAGCTACAATGAAAGGCACATACTGCCACGTTCAGCTTCTTTTGAAATGGAGTTTGTTGTTGTTGTTGTTGTTGTTGTTTTTGCCTGGACCAGCCTGGAACCACAACTCTTCTGATCTCAGCCTCTCAAGAAGCTAGCATTGTAGATGTGAGCCCCTGGTGCCTGGCTTCCTCTATATAGATATAGATATCCTATAACATGTATACTTCGCTTAATAAAACCTACAGGTTATCACTGACAGTTACTCTAATTTCCCCAGGAGGAGGAAATTAGAGTCAGTCTGCTTTAATTTGAACTGTTTCCCATCTTGCATGTAATACTGAGTAATATTTTAGTCCTTCCTTTTTTTTTTTTGTGATGGTCCTGGGGCTTGAACTCAGGGCCTGGGTACTGTCCCTGAGCTTTTGTGCGCAAAGGTTTGTGGTCTACCACTTGAGCTACAGCTCCACTCCAGCTCCATTTACGGACTAGCTTCGAACCATGATGCTCAGATCTCAGCTTCCTGAGTAGCTACAATTATAGACGTGAGTCACCAGCACCTGGCTTTTTACTGAAGGTCACTGTGTGTTTACTGTTGTATAAAGACTTTCATTGCCCAGCAAATTGACCAGAAGTTCCAATCATCTTTTTTTTTTTGGTTGGTCAGGGGGCTTGAACTCTGGGCCTGGACACTGTCCCTGAGCTCTTCAGCTCAGGATTAGTACTCTACCACTTTAGCCACAGCATCATTTCCAGTTTTCTGGTGGTTAATTGGAGATAAGAGTCTCTCAGAGTTTCCTGCCTGGGCTGGATTTGAACCACGATCCTCAGACCTCAGCCTCCTGTGTAGCTAGGCTTACAGGCTTGAGCCATTTGTGCCTAGGACGACAATCATCTTTCTAAATCTTCGTGTGACCACACTTGATTCTTGCAAGCTTATTCTTCTGGTTTATAATCTCTGTGCTAAGAAGTAACAATATCAGAATGAGAAATCCAACGTTTCTGCTTTCCTGAGGTTAATTGAAGGGACAGAAAATAAATTGGTAAGTGAATGAATAAAAAGGTAGCTCAGTGGTAGCACTTGCATAGCATTCATGAGGCCCTGGAAAGGAAAAACAAAATGAGTTAGCTACCATTGGTGAAGAGTGCTCTGGAAGAAAGAGAGTGATGGAGAGGAACTTTTGGAGGTTACTTGTGGGCAGTGGGAGAAGATGTGACGAAATGAATTTCTTCTCTAAAGATTGGAAACATGATGAGAGTCTGCTCGTGCAGGTGGCTGGGGATTAAGGCTTGAATTTAGGCAGAAGACATAACATACTAACACACGGAGGGAAAATGCTTGACATGTAAAGATACTGAGATGAGCCATGAGGCTTTAACAAGAGGAGACTGCTCCCCCAATGAGGCTATAGAAACGGCTGGGAAGGTGGGCGCTGATGGCTCAGGCCTGTAATCCCAGCTACTCAAGAGGCTGAGATCTGAGGATCATGATTCAAAGTCAGCCTGGGCAGGAAAGTCCCTGAGACTCTTAGCTCCAATTAACCACCAGAAAACCAGAAGTAGAGCTGTGGCTCAAAGCTCAGGGACAGTGCCCAGGCCCAAGTTCAAACTCCATGACAATCAAAAAGAAAAGGAAAAGGAAACTGGTAGGAGTCAGGCCACCCCTAACTCAGCCTAGCATGCACTTGTGGCACTGACCCCTTTCCAGGAGGGCCCAGTTCTAACAATACTTTTCTTGTCAAATTGTGGTCTCAAGAACAGTGAGAAGCTAAGTGCTGGTGGCTCACACCTGTAATCCTAGCTACTCAGGAGGCTGAGATCTGAGGATTGCGGTTCAAAGCCAGCCTGGGCAGGAAAGTCTGTGCAACTCTGATTGCCAATAAACTACCAGAAAACCAGAAGTGATGCTGTGGCTCAAGTGGTAGAGCACTAGGCTTGAGCTGAAGAGCTGAGGGACAGCACCCAGGCCCAGAGTTCAAGCCCCATGATCGACAAAAAAAAGAAAGAAAGAACAGTGAGAAACCCCAGGTGCTGGTGGCTCACCCTGTAATCCTAGCTCCTCAAGGGGTGAGATATGAGGGTCACAGTTCAAAGCCATCCCAGGCAGCAAAGTCTTGAGTCTCGTTTTCTCCAATGAACCACCAAAAAGTCAGAAGCGGTACTGTGGCTCAAGTGGTAGAGTGCCATCCTTGAGTGGAAAATTTAAGAGACAGAGCCCAAGCCCTGAATTCAAGCCCCATCTTGTATACACACACACACACACACACACACACACACACACACACCACACACACACACACAGAGAAGAGAATTTCATGAGATAGAGAAGTCATGAGATAGAAGATTAAGCCACACTCCTTTGAAGTTATATAGCACATACCTCCTCTGTTAATCATAGTCTAAAACCATGATTAAATAAGATAGGTCTGTGAAGTACTTAGCACATAGTAAATGTTCACAACTATTGACAGCACCTCTTCTGTTAAGGGCCGGAAGTTTCCTCCCTTTTGTGACTAAGAACTAGACAGCAGAGTGGAGATTTCTGCCTGGTGAGTCAAAGTTCATACCATGGATTTCACCAAAGCTTCAACTTCTGTTTGGCCTTGGAGCTCCCAAGCCCTGTACCTTCTAACAGTCCTGGCCAGGTTTTTGTAATGAGGTTCAGCCTTCTTTCATGGGTTGGGGGAAGAAACTCCAGCTCAGAGTGCAAACTTGGAAGATGTGTGCAGGGCTGGGAGCAATCTCAGACAAAGAAAGGCTTTGGGTTCTACATCTCTAGCTTCTACTCAGGGACTCAACCTCCAGAAAATGGAAGACCTGGAGACTTGTAGCAACATCCAGTCATCACATCCCATATTGAGTTCAGGCTTTCTGTGTTTGTCAGACCACCAGGAGCAGGTGCAGTCAGGCCCAGCCACGGCGTGGGCTGGTGCCTTCCCTCCCATCCCTGATGGCTGGCACAGTGCTGGGAGTGGGTGCCGGCGTGTTCATCCTAGCCTTGCTCTGGGTGCTGGTGCTGCTGCTGTGTGCGCTGTTATCCAGAGCCTCCGGGATTGCTAGGTAAGGCATTCTTTCCAGTTGGGAGTCCTAGGTAAAAGCAATTAGAGGCAAAATCGCTGATGCTCATTAAACATTTAGAATTCAGAAGATCATTTTTGTAATTACTGGCAGTTTGAACGAGTTGCATTTTAACCTCTTATCATAAGCACTAACTGTGTTATTTATGCTCTGAGGCAGAGGTGGGAGGAGAAGGGAAGTATATTTTTCAGCTCTTACTGTGGAGGAGATGGCGGAGAGACAAGAGATGACAAGAAAATCTGCTTTCGCTGCCTATTGAATTTCTCAGGGGGATGCACATGGGAGTTTTTCTTAATTGTTGTGATTTATGCCATGTTGCTTGGTCCAGTCTCTTAGGGCTCTAGGCGTAGGCCCAGGCAAAGTAAGAAGCATTTGGTGAGTTGAACTGTCCCTCCATACCAGGCACTTGACTTTAAGGTCATAAACAGACCCCCAAACACAGTTATACTATGGAGAGGACTTGTCAGTAAAGAGCAGAGAGTTACAAATTTGCTAATTTTTCTGGCCAAAAAGCAACCAAAGTGGATATGAATAGAGTTGCCTTGATTTTGTTGTTGTTGTTGTTGTTTCCTTGAACATGACTTTAGGCAGAAGCACAGATGAAAACTCTGAGTTCTCATTATGAGGAGTTTGGCGTAACAGGAACACGCCCAAGATGGTATCTCTAGGAAGAAAGGCCTTGTGTATAACAGGTGTCTGGACATTGTCAGGGGACTGAAACATAGAATGTTGACCCCCAGGGAAGAGCCAGGCCAGGCCCAACTGGTTGGGAGAAATTGTAAGCTGAGTTTTTAATACTTTGTCTCATTGCCCCAGGTTCTCCATCATTTTTGTCTTCCTTGGTGCTCTGGTCATCACATCAGTTCTATTGCTTTTCCCCCGAGCCACTGAACTCCCAGCCCCAGAAGTTGAAATGAAGGTAAACCTGTTGGTTTCATTTGCCTCCTAATACAAACCTTCATCCTTCTCTGCCACCTGAGATGTTAGCACAGCACTGTTGAAACATGTGTAGGGGAGCTCAGAGATAATTTTATATTTTATTTTATTGTTGGAAATGGGGCTTGAAATCTGGGCTTGGGCGCTGTCCCTGAGCTCTTCAGCTCAAGGCTAGTGCTCTGCCACTTTGAGCCACAGAGCCATTTCTGGTTTTCTGGTGGTTAATTGGAGACTTTGCTGCCTGGGCTGGCTTTGAACTGCTATCTTCAGATCTCAGCCTCCTGAGTAACTAGGATTACAGGTGTGAGCCACTGGCACCCAGCTTATTTTTATTATTTATTGTAAAGGTGATGAACAGGGGGATTACGGCTACATATGTATGGTATGTGCATATCTTATTGAACAATTACCCCTGCTTCCTCATTTTCTCCCGCTTTCAGAGGCAATTTTAAATCCCCAAGATCTTCTGGCCCCACTTGCAATACACGGTCTGAGTTGGTCTTGTCTTCAACTTAAACTTCATGACAGTGTTGAAAGACTACCTCCTATTATGAGGACCAAGCAAGAGAAACTGAGTGAGGAATGGATAGGCACAGGCCTGCATTCCCATCCTGGTAGCCTCGGCTCAAAACCTCAGATTAGAGGCCAAAATTTATGTGCTCTCAGGTACTGAGCCATGTGGCTTTCTCCTTGTGGTAGACTTTTTCTACTTGTGATGTGGAGAGAAGTATCTCCACAGAGAAGAGCAGTGGGGAGTGAGCAGCATTACTATGAGAAGCAGAAGGTAAAGATGCAGTTGAACTCACTAGTAATGATTCCTCTGGTCCTCATTCCTGGGACCACATCTGCCAGCTGACACCTCTGAAACTAGGTTTTGTGTGTGTGTGTGTGCGCGCCCGCCCATGCGTGTACACACACGTGTGTGCACGCACATGTTGGTACTATAGCTGAAATTTTCAGGGCCTTGTACGCAAGGCATTTTTCGCTCAGGGTTGGCACTTTACTACTTGAGCTGTATCTCTTCTTCCTGCTTTTTTACTGTTTAGTTGGAGATAATCTCTCAGATTTGTCTGTGTGGACTGGTTTCAAACCTCTATCCTCAGATCTGTCTCCAGAGTAGCTAGGATTACAATTATGAGTCATCAATGCTTGAAAAGAGATCTCTGGGGCTGGGAAGGTGGCTCAGTGGTAGAGCGCTTGCCTTGCATGCATGAGGCCCTGGGTTCGATTCCTCAGCACCACATAAGCAGAAAAAAGCCAGAAGTGGCACTGTGGCTCAAGTGGTAGGGTGCTAGCCTCGAGCTGAAGAACTGAGGGACAGCACCCAGGCCCAGAGTTCAAGTCCCACGACCGACAAAAAAAAAAAAATAGCTCTTTGTCATCGTGTCATTCTCTGGAGATGCCACTCATGCCTTACCATGATTGCTGTCACAACCATAGGATTTTGATCATTTGCCTTTGGCCATTATTCCGTCTAGTAGCCTTCTTCCTTTCAACCTCCACTTTTTCCCCCCACTTTTTAATTGCTATTGTTAAGGTGATGCACCGAAGGGTTACAGTTATGTAAGTTAGGTAGAGTACATTCCTTTTTGGTCAGTGTCGCCTCTTTTGTCGCTCTCTCCCAGTTTTTCCCTCCTGTCCCCACCCATAAGCTGTATAGTTCATTTTCAACATAGTGTCTGGTGAGTGCCACTGCTGTTTGTTCACCCTTTGTCTTCCAATTCTGTGTCTACTTTGATTTTTAAGTGGTAGTGATAATAAAGGGTTGATAAAGTTATATAGTGATGATAAAAGATTACTGCTGTGCCAGGTCATGTGCTAGACATGTGTGCATTACCTCATTTAAACTTCAGGACAGCTCTAAGTAGTATATGAACCCATTTTATATGTGAGGATACGGAAGCTGTAAGAGATTAAGCTAATTTGCTCAAGATCATACACAGGAAGAGACATAGCAAGGACTTGACCTGAGATCTGTCTTTAAAATCCACATTGCTGGTGCCTCAACTGAGTATCAGGGTGAGTCTACAGAACTTTTGCTTTATTCATTTGGTAGATAGATTATTTGATAGATAACAGTCCACAAATTTAAGACCTTTTGAACTAAAATGGATACACACTTCCCACTCTACCTGGAACTAACCATGGCCAAAGGAAGGAAATTAATTCAGAAAAGTTGAAGGAAACCTAGACTTACCTTACAAATTCATGAAAGCACTTCCATAGCTGCCTGCTTTTTTGTTCACATTTGGCAACCACTGTGAATGTATGGGTCCCATGTATAGAGTTAAGGGTGAGTGCCCACCCTGATACTCTTTGAAGGGGCAGGAATGATGGAGGCTGGAGATTTCTGGATTACTGCAGGTGTGACTACTGGAAGAAGGCATGGAGCAAAAACCCTGTTTTACAATCAGTCCGTTTCTGTCATAGGAGTTTCAGACTCAGGAGAGAATGGTGTTTAAGCAAAATCTGTTTGTCAGCATGGCCCGCAGAATTGGAGTTCTCATTTTCAGGATTTGAGAGCTGGCCCCTGCAGTAGTCTGGCTCAATACTGTATCAATAATACATGGGCTGGGCCTTCTGCACCCAAGGCCTGCTAATTGGCTAATTAAAAAGTGAAACAGTCGAACGAGCAAACATGTAGCCCACTAGAGACTTGTTCAGTACCAGAGCCAAGGTCAAAGTTATGTTAAAGTTGTTTTATCAAACTGACCTTTATTGTAAGTTGACTGTTGGGGTAATCTCTGGAGCAGATGGGGTGTCTGCAGCTGCCTCCTTTTTGGCGTCTTTGGATTTCACCGATCGAGTCCCCAGATTTGACAGATACTTTTTGTATCGACACTGTATTTTTCTAATGCTGCTATAATGCATGACTGCAAATGTAGTGGCTCCCACACAAACTTACTATCTTATAGTTCTGTAAGTTATAAAGTCCCTCATCAATCTCACTGGCCTAAAACCCAGGGGTCGGCATGGCTGCATTCCTTGCTGGTGGCTCTAGAGGAGACCCATTTCCTCACCTTCTCCAGCTGTCCAGGGTGCCACCAGCTGTCCAGGGTGCCACCTCAGTCCTTGGCCTGCATCCTCCCTCCTCATCTTCAAAGTCAGCACCTAACATCTCTTGGATACTGACCCTCTTTTCTGCCTCTCTTAAAGAGCACTTTTGTGATTACACTGGGTAATCCAGGCTAATGTCCCTATGTAAAGTCAGCTGATTAGCAACCTTAAGTCTCCTTTGTCATGCAATTTAACATACTTTCTAGGGATTAAGTTGTGGACATCTGTGGGCCATTAGTCTATCAGAGTTAGTTAAGTATTTTGGATTCTCTCTTACATATGTGGGTTTTCAAGGCTTTTTCAAGGTTTTCAAGGTTTTTTGCTGCTCCATTAGGTCTATACATTAAATTGCTTTTACCTGCCCAATGTTGAGTACCACTATTTGGCTCTGTGGGGAATAGATTTCTGGCAGTAAACAGCATACAAGTGGGAAGAACCCACTTAACACCAGTTACAGCTTTCTGTCAGTGAAGACTAACAGAACTATGGTATCAGTTTTGACTGGTTACCAGGCAGTCAGTTACATGATTTGGGACAAGCTACTTGTGCTATTCACATTGTAGTATCTTGGGCAAGTTTCCATTTTCCCTCTCCCTTGGTATGCTGGGTAACGAACATTAGGGTTCAGAACTCTTTCGATGAAAGCTTTGAAGAAACACATTCTTGTTTTGAAAATGAACCTTTCTGAATGGTAGTGGCTTGATGATTTTTTTTTTTTTTGGTTGGTCACAGGGCTTGAACTCTGGGGCTTGAACTCAGCTCTTCAACTCAAGGCGAGTGCTCTGCCACTTGAGCCACGGCGCCACTTCTGGTTTTCTGGTGGTTTATTGAAGAGTCTCATGCCCTTTCCTGCCTGGGCTGGCTTTGAACCATGATCCTCAGATCTCAGACTCCTGAGTAGTTAGGATTACAGGCGTGAGCCACTGGTGCCCAGCCTGGCTTGATGATTTTTAAGGTTTGGTCTTAGATACATAGAAATGTGTTGGGGTAGTGGGGTACAGGGGTTGGGAAGGTGACTCAGTGGTAGAGTGCTTGCCTAGCATTCATGAAGCCCTGGGTTCGATTCCTCAGCACCACATAAACAGAAGAAGCCAGGAGTGGCACTGTGGCTCAAGTAGTAGAGTGCTAGTCTTGAGCAAAAGAAGTTTAGGGACAGTGCCCAGGCTCTGAGTTCAAGACCCATGACTGGCCAGAAAAAAAAAAAGTGTGTGTGTGTGTGTGTGTGTGTGTGTGCATGTGCGTGTGCATGTGCACGTTGGTATTAGGTCTTGAAATCAGAGCCTGGGCACTGTCCCTTAGCTTTTTCACTCAAAGCTGGTGCTCTACCACAGCTCCATTTCAGGCTTTTTGGAGGTTAATTGGGGATAAAAGTCTTACTTTCCCATCCAGCTGGCTTTAAACCATGATCTTCAAATCTCAGCCTTCTAAGTAGTTCGTGAACCACTGGGACCCAGCTTGCAACCTGTTATATTTTAGTGTCATTAAAGTCCTCTATAATGAAAATTGTTGTTTGGGGGTCTTTTTGGTGCCTATCCTGGAGCTTGGACTCAGATCCTAGGCACCAACCCTGAGCTTTTGTGCTCAAGGCTAGCACTCTACTACTTGAACCACAGCTCTATTTGCCAGCTTCTTTTGGTAGTTAATTGGAGATAAAAAGTCTTTCCTGACTTCCAGCTGTGCTCCTCAGATCTCAGCCTACTGAGTAGCTAGGAGCAACTGGCAATGATGAAAATGCTAACACAAATAATTCATTCTAGGATAAGCCTAGTTTCTTCTAACTCTTTCAGATAACTGATTTCAGAACAGAAAGTCCTCCAAAACATTTATGTATCTTCTAAATTGAGCCATTTGTTCCTGTACCTTATTCATCCTTTTTTTTTTTAAACCTTCTGTCTCCAACTTGGGGATTTAAGAAAAAGACTCTTTTACTCATATATATACAAAGGGTACCCAAGGCAAGATGCTATGGAAAGATACACATATGATCAAATAAACATATTTCATCATTACAGATTAGGTGTGTTCATCATAGATTTCAGATTAGCACAGGCAGGTTGCTGGAGTGCTGTGATTTCATTTGATGCTTGCTTTCTTCCTCTAGATTGTGGATACCTTTTTCATCGGCCGCTATGTGCTGCTTACTCTGCTCAGTGTCATCTTTCTTGGAGGCCTCTCCTTGGTTCTAACCCACCATGTGCTGGAGCCAATCTATGCCAAACCACTGCGGTCCTGATGATCATTTCTGAGGAAACCAAGACTCTTCTCCTGTCCTTTTTGATGTCATCCTGAAAAAGGGGCAGTTTTCACATCTTCTGACCAAAGGAATATCCACTTACCACTAAGACAAAACTGTCTTGAGTTCTGGCTTCCAGAAACAAATTGCAAAATAGACCCCGAGGCCATGGAATCTCAGTTGACTTCTTAGACCATGTACTTCAGGGTTTCCATCTGTTTTGAAAGGGAAATAGTTACGATGATCTGCTTAGAGTACACTTTCAATCAATTTGTTAGTAGTAGATTTTGGAAAAAAAAATTTTCTTCTGTTGTCCAATAAAAGATCCTGATTCTTTTTGGTAGTTTGTAGAATTCTTCATTCTAAGATTGCAATCATCTGAAAGGGAAATACACTTAAGTCAAGAAGGATGTTTTAATTTGGAAGACATGTTTAGATGTTGGTTATTGATCACTTATGCATATAGTTCCACAAAACACTATAAAATCAGTAAACAACCACCAGTGGTCTGACTTGGACTTTAAACTCTTAGGCACAGCTTTCTGGAAGCTTGTATTTTTTTCAAGTTTGCTTGGTGATTAGAAAAAAGATATAGAATGTTGATTGTCTTTCGCCATGGATCTCTGGATTATTTTTCTTCCAAGATCTAATGACCTCTGTGTACCTCATTTAATTACCATAAAAATCCATTTTAGGTTTGATCCATTTTTGTTGGTGTTTTATTGCATTTTTGGTTTAGTTTTGTGACATTTTCACTGTATTGCTCAGGCCGGCCACAAAACCCTTCATTCTTCTGCCTTAGCCTCCTGAATGTTGGGATTACAGCCCTGTGTCACCAAGGTGAGCTTTTTCTTTCCACCTTTAGTAGCCCTTCTCCAAGCCCAGTAAGTCATGTACATTCAACAGGAAACTATAACTTGACCCCTGACTCACCTCCCAGACCAAGCAAGATTTGTCATTAGAGGGTGCTGCTCTGACCTCTGTTTTGGAGATGTCCTCCTGAGCACCTAAAGCTGTAAGCTAAGGAGTCTTGCTTTAAGTTAAGAACCATGAGAACAAATTGGGAAGATCGATTAAATTTGTTCTGTATGCCAGTAGCATGCTAATTCCCTTGAAGTTTGCTTAATTTTTATAATAGTCATTATCAGCCCGACTTTAAAGTAGAAACAAATGGAGACTTAAGGAGGTTCACTGACTTACCCGAGATTCACACAGCTGGCAAATCTAAGTGTCGCAGATGCCGGGGCCTGTCTCAAACTGGAAGAAAACCACTGAGTTCTGGAACTTGAAAACGTGAAGGGGGTCAGAGTCATTTCTTTCTGTCCTGGTAGGGAAGAACCCTCTCCTGCCACCTCAGGGGGATCTCAGGCCTAACTGACTATTTGAAAGTCATTGGTCTCTGGTGAGTGCCAGGAGAGGTTGTTCCCGCACTGAAACTGCCCCCTTCATTATCTTCCTCAGGAAAAGCTTTACAGATAAGGCTTCTTTAGAAAGGTTCAAAGGAAATAATTTCTTAAGTCTGGCCTAGAGTCCTAGGGTAAAAAAATAAAAAAGAAGAAGAAAAATTCCTTCCAAACAGATGGGAGGAAAGGGAGCATGCAGAGCCGCTGCTGGAAGTGGGTAGGCTGGTTACGCTCTCGAGTTTCTTTGCACACCACACTGAAGCTTCTAGGTGCCCATGAGCCTCTGTGCAGTGAACTTGAGCCAGCCCACATAGAGCATTGTCTCCTCACAACTGCCATTTGCACCCTTCTTCCCAGAGCCTGGCTGAGAAAGCTTCCTGACCGTCACCCCATCTTTTTTTTTCTTCCAAATGTCTCCAGCTACTGAGCCAGTGAATTTCAGAGGGTTCAGCGCGGGGCACAGCTGTGGCTGTTTGATAGGGCATTCCTTACTCTCAGGCTTTCTTGGAGATGGCTCAGAGGTTGGCCCTCTACTACCAGCAGAAATCATCTTAGTGTTCCATTTAGCTCTTCTCCAGTGAGTTTCTTAGGGTAGATGGTACCACTCTGTTCCTATCAGGAGACTTATTGTCCAGAGACTTTAGAAGTTGAGGAGGGACAGCAAAATCAGACTTTTATATGAAAAATTGGGCTATTTCATAACTTTTTTTTCTCGGTCACGGGGTTTGAACTCTGGGCCTGGCACTGTCTCTGAACTCTTCAGCTCAAGGACAGCGCTCTACCACTTGAGCCACAGCACCACTTCCAGTTTTCTAGTGGTTTATTGGAGATCAGAGTCTCACAGACTTTCCTGCCTGGGCTGGCTTTGAACCATGATCCTCAGATCTCAGCCTCCTGAGTAGCTGGGATTACAGGCGTGAACCACTGGCGCCCAGTTTATTTCATAACCTTCTATGTCTAGACAAACTAAATTATCAGGACCTCATCCTAACCCAGGGAAAATCATTTGTCTGATCCGGAGGTGGTGCTGTGTTTTAGAACTTTCTCAACAAGACACACTGGGCAATGGTGTATTTTTTTTTTCTTCCAGGACCCAGGTTTGAACTCAGTGCCTCCCTCTCCCTCAGCTTGCTTTCTTGACTAGTGCTGTACAAATTGAGCCATACCTCCAGTCTGATGTTTTTGTTGGTTAATTAAAGATAGACTCTTGCAGACTTTCTTGCTTGGGCTAGCTTCAAAGTGGGATCCTCCATCCAAGTGTCAGCCTCCCGTCTAGGATTACAGGAGTGAGCCACCTGTGCCCAGCTCACACACACTGGGTAATTTTTGTTGTTGTTGTTGTTGTTGGTTGTTGGGGCTTGACCTCTGGGGTTGAGAACTGTCCCAGCACTCTTCAGTTCAAGGCGAGTGCTCTACGCTTGAGCCACAGCACCACTTCTGGTTTTCTAGTGGTTTATTGGAGATAAGAGTCTCATGGACTTTCCTGCCCGGGCTGGCTTTGAACTGTGATCTTCAGATCTCAATTTTCTGAGTAAGTAGGATGACAGGTGTGAGCCACCAGTGCCCGGCACACTGGGTAATTTTTTAGATATGTATATAAGTTTTTTAAACTTCTCACATCAGTAAGGAGGCTGTAGTTCAAATGGTAGACTTGCCTAGCAAGCACAAGACCCTGAGTTCAAACCCTAGTGTCAGTCAATCAGTCAAGTAAAAAGAATTAAAACTAGCCTTTTTTATGCAGGTTTTTACATGTGCATACATGAACTAGAAGAATTGCACATAGCTGTTCATTCAACATTGATTGTGTGCCTGCTGTGGTGTGAGCCAGTTAAAACACTGGCTGAAAGGTCCATGTTGTCTTCCCAACTTCATCTTTGGATGAAGGTATACCAGTTGCCTTTAAATTTTTTTATTCTAATACTACCATTTCTCATTGTTCTTCAGGACACCTAGCCCTGCCTCCCAATGTATTCTGAACATCTCATTTCTTGTTTTAAAGATCATGTTGGCTTTCAGACCACTCCTGTTTTTCACAGTAGATATCAATGTATTTTAGCTATTTGTACCCTCTGATTCCCTAACTCGTATCCAAAAAGGTAAAAGTTCTAATTAACATGAGAAGAACTCTAATTAACATTCTAGGACAAATAACAAAAGATTTTGTTTAAACTCCTTGGCTTACAAGTATTTGGCTGTTGTTATGCAGAAACAAATTTCCAGATGTGGACTCAGAACTATAGAAACAAATCTGGAGAAGTACTGATTATCCTCAAGGGGGCAGAAAGACTCAGGCTTGGAAAGGAGCTTATGGTTCATAGAGTTCAACTTTTAATCTCTAGGTCCACCCACAAAACTTGGAAATAAATGCACTTCACATTGCTTAAATCACAATTTGTATTATATTTAATGAACGTGCCATTTTTTCAATGTTCATTTTTTTAATGTAAGTATTGACTCATGTTATCATACAGAGGCCTATGAAGTAGATTATCTTGATGTCCCCATTTCACAGACCGGAACAGGCACAGCCTGCCAAGGTGGTTGGCTTGAGATCACTCAGTAAGGGGCAGGTAGGGGTCAGGATTTGAAGTCAAGCAGTTTAGTTCAGTGTTTAAGCTCTTAACTCCTTTATATTTCACTGTGCTGTTCCATAAGGAAAAATGGGGATGGGGGAACCAGGTTGTTCACTTGGAGAATCAGCTGCTTTTTATTAATCACCCAGAATCTTAGGAATCGGGTTCAGGTCTTGGGCAAAGCAGTTAAAAGGTTCCTATGACAACTTTACTGATCAACCCTGGGGTTGGGGCAGGGCTCTGCTCTGGTGAGCTGAGGCTTTTCCCTGGCGTAGACATACTAGATGGTACAACCCCTAGCATATACAGTTTTCAATAAGCACGTAAAGGAAGCTGTACCTAGGCGCCACATGGATATCCCCTACTTGTTTTAAGGGATTGTGTATACTTTCCAGTGCTCCTCTATGTCTTTTAATTGATCAAGTACCACTTTTACATTGGGTATGTATATTTCCTATTGCTGCTGTAAGAGATTACCACAAATATAAAGTCATTTAGAACAATATAAACCTTACAGTTCTGGAGGTCAAAAAATGGGAAGGAGTATGAGGGGGCTGCAGTCATGGGTCATATGGTAGAACGCTTGCTTTTCTACCTTCTAGAAGTCACCCATATTCTCTGGTAGGTGGACTCTGACTCTTTCTGTATCTTCAAAGGTATTGGGATAACAACTAACGTCCAAACGCTACCCCTCCTGCCTCACTGATTTCGGGGTTTTTTTTTTTCCTTTTTTTGTCAGTAATAGGGCTTGAACTCAGGGCCTGGGCACCATCTCTGAGCTCTTTTTGCTGAAGGTCTACTACTTTGAGCCATAGCACCATTTCTGTTTTTCTGGTGGTTCATTGGAGATAAGAGTCTCACAGACTTTCCTGCCTAATCTGGCTTCAATCTGTAATCTTCAGATCTCAGCCTCATGAGTAGCTAGGATTACAAGTGTGAGCCACCAGTGCTGGCTAGCGCCTCACTGATTGCTAAGGAGCCTGTGGTTAGCTATCAGGCCCACCTGACAAGCCAGGATCGCCTCTCCATCTTGGGTTCTTTAATCATATCTCCAAAGCTGTATTTCATTGTACTGTAACCTTTTACTGTTTGGAGAATTAGGATGTGGACATCTTTGGGAAGGCATTGTTCCTGTTATGGAATGTATAGCCCATGTTCCAGCTATGAGGACTGCCTCCTCCTTCTACCCTTCATCCACCCTCTCCTTGCTCCCACAGCTTTGTAAAGAACAAGGTCTGCTGCTTTGTCCACCTCTCAGAGCTCCAGGCAGCAACTATCCCCATCCCTACCCTGAACCTCCATGAGTTGAGTTCCTTCCTCATAGTGCTAAGCTTTCTTTTCCTTTCCTTTTTTTTTCCCT